GGTTTGTACAGTTTAGAGTTTGGTTTTTTAAAATTATTTTTCCTTTTACTTCAGGCTTGACGTAAATTGATAATGGTGGGAGTAGAGGATGAACTAAAAACACAGTTCATTGAATAGGTTAAGAGGCTACAGTCCACAACACCACTATATATACTCCATTCCCACCTTCGATTTCATTCATATTACTAGCTGTTGCCTTCCCCATTCCTATCTTCCCTGCTAGAAGTCCTGAGCCCTAACACATAGTATTCCAGAAACCTTTCTTTCCATAGCCAAGAAGTTTAGGTTTAGGTTTAGGTGGGTGCGTAAAAGTTTACCCTCCATCCATTTCTGCATATTTGGCTAGGAGTTGTTGACAAGTAATTTGAAAGCCCCATTTGGACCTGTACTTAGATAAGCCATTTTAAGCACTTATTTTGTCTCATTTCCAACTTCACTCACTAAAATTTCCTCTATTTTTGCCATTGTTCAATACAAGATGGGTGAGAATGCTGCCTCAAAGAACCACCACCTGCACAACCATCACCAAGTCTTTGACATCTCCATTGATGTACTTCCTCAAAATGGTTCCAAATGTTTGGATGATGATGGGCGCCTTAAAAGAACTGGTAATCTTCACCATCCTTCCCTGTTTTTTGATCTGTTTCTGCCCTGCTTTTACTCTGTTTCTTGAAGAAAATTTAGTGACAAGTATAAAAATTTTCATATTCTTGTTGGTTGGTCTGTGTCTTCAGGTACTCTATGGACTGCTAGTGCCCACATAATAACAGCAGTAATAGGATCAGGAGTTCTTTCCTTGGCATGGGCTATAGCTCAACTAGGATGGGTTGCTGGTCCTGCTGTCATGTTCTTGTTCTCATTGGTTACTTACTATACCTCATCCCTCCTCACTGATTGTTACCGGACCGGCGATCCCGATACAGGAAAAAGGAACTATACATACATGGACGCTGTTCAATCCATTCTTGGTATCTTAAAAATAATTTTTTTCCAAGCTTTCAAAAAATGCGAAAAATATTGTAACCCTACTAATAATAAGACCACTAGCGTATAGAAATGTTTCGTTCTTTTTTCTATTTCATTAAAGTTAATTCTCTTGTCTTCAATGTTTGTCAGGCGGAGTAAGGGTCAAGTTTTGTGGCTTTATTCAGTACCTAGGCTTATTTGGGATTGCCATTGGTTACACCATTGCATCATCCATAAGCATGATGTAAGTTGGTCTTTGTACAACAAAAACTTCCTTCCTTTTGTTTTTTGTTTTCTTGAAAAAGCCTTGATTGATACGTTTGGTTCACGGTTATTGACAGGGCAATTAAAAGGTCAAATTGTTTCCATCAAAGTCGCGGACAGAACCCATGTCATGTTTCAAGCAACCCTTACATGATCATGTTTGGTATCGCAGAAATTCTGCTATCTCAGATTCCAGACTTTGATCAGCTATGGTGGCTCTCTATCGTTGCTGCGGTCATGTCTTTTACTTACTCTAGCATTGGTCTTGGCCTTGGCATTGGCAAAGTTGCAGGTCTATATTTTTTTTAACTATTCTACTTAAATCCAACTTGTTTACAATATTTAGTCCCTCCGTCCATGAAAGAGTGTTGTTTCCTTATTTAGTTGTTCTGAAATGCATCTCTAACGTGTGCGGCTAATGGAACTCTATACTTCTCTATTTTCACTGGTATGCAGCGAATGGAACTTTTAAGGGTAGTCTGACTGGAATAAGCATTGGAACCGTAACCGAAACAGAGAAGATATGGAGGAGTTTCCAAGCACTTGGTGCCATAGCCTTCGCATATTCATATTCTGTCATTCTTATAGAAATTCAAGTACGTGGAATCCCTTAACTTCAAAACCCCATATCTTTTCTTAATCACTATGATCAAGCTTTGAGTAATTCAGCTTTATATTTGCTTAACAGGACACAGTTAGATCTCCACCAGCAGAATCAAAGACAATGAAGAAAGCGGCCAGTATAAGCATTGTAGTGACAACTACTTTCTATATGCTCTGTGGCTGCATGGGATACGCAGCATTTGGAGACCTAGCACCTGGGAATCTCCTCACTGGCTTTGGTTTCTACAACCCATACTGGCTTATTGATATTGCTAATGTTGCCATAGTAATCCACCTCGTAGGAGCATATCAAGTGTTTTGCCAGCCTCTCTTTGCTTTCATTGAGAAATGGGCAAACCAAAAATGGCCTGAAAGTTACTTCGTCACCAAGGAATTCAAAATCCCAGTCCCAGGTTTTGGGCCATACAAGCTGAATCTGTTTAGATTGGCTTGGAGAACAATATTTGTGATCTCGACCACTATTATATCAATGTTGCTCCCATTCTTCAATGATGTCGTGGGAATTCTTGGGGCACTTGGTTTTTGGCCTTTGACAGTCTATTTTCCAGTGGAGATGTACATCGTACAAAAGAAGATACCAAGATGGAGTATAACATGGATTTGTCTCCAAATGCTGAGCATGGCTTGCTTGGTGATTTCACTTGTGGCTGTTGCAGGCTCACTTGCAGGTGTTGTGCTTGACCTTAAGGTTTACAAGCCATTCAAGACAAGCTATTAACCTGGTAGCTGTATCATTCGTCGAGTACCCATGGGAAGCGGAAAGCTTAAAATTGCACTTCAACTTAATTGTTCTTAAAAAGAAGAAAGAAAGATGGAAAATTCGTAAGTGGGTGGTGTTTGTGTAGTTCATCAATTGTAATTGTATGTTTGATTTCACTTTTAAGTAGCGTTTGTTCCAAGTGTCGAAGGACTTTGTAATTATGCATAAGGAATCCAAAATGAGTTTTCATTTATGCAACTTTGTCAATTCTGAACTCTCTAATCTAGACATTAGTAATTCAACATCATCTGCAACTTTCATAATCCTTGGAGGTTTAGCTTGATCGATAAATTTAGCTTGATGTATAAATGAATGTACTTCATTAATTATCCTAATTATTAATGAATTTAAAATTGATTCAACAAATAAATAAAATGGATGATCATGGGTAAAATTATACTCCAAACTCAATTATTAGTCTTTTTTTTTTCAAAAAATAATTATTTAGTTATCTATATTTTAATTTCGTCAATAACTTTTTTTTCATCAAATTTATGTTAAATTAGTTATTTTTATTTTTAATTAAAGAAAGAGAAAAGGAGTGGGTAGAAAAGAGAAATAAGCCATCAAAAAAGAGCAATTTGAGAATGAAAAAAAAAACCATTAATGTAACGAAAAACTGATCAAAGAACTAAGTGATTGATGGAATTAAAACATAAAGCATTAAATGATTAGTTTTAAAACATGAGGAACTAATTAATTCATTTCTCAAAACAAGAGGGACTAGACTATAATCCACTCCCCTTGAGAACTCAACTAGATGTTTCTACTTTTTTAGTTGTACTTTTGAATTTACCTAGGTTTTGAGTCTCTTTTGGACAAGAGAGGATTTTCCAGAATAGTAAGTGAAACCCATCAAATGCATGTCCTTTTCCAAGAAAAAGAAAAAAGAACAGAATCAGAAGATAAGTACTGCTTGATAAACAGAATGTTTTATTCGGTATTTTAATTTCAGACAATAACATCAGAGGGTCCGTGAACCTGAAAAAAGGAAGGCATTTTGGATGGCATCAAGGAAAAGAAAACGTAATAATACTAACCAATAAACAGCACCACATCCACCACCACCGAAAGTGCTTCTTGTATTCCATGCCACCAATCATAGGAAAGAATAATTCAACAAATACATAAAATAGAAATAAAAGGAAAAAATATAAAAATTATTATTAAAAGATAGTTGAGGAATCTTGGCAGTCCCAATTGTTTGATGAGAGCTATTCATATATAGCAATAGTTAATAAAATTTTAAATCACAGATACAATTATAAATACAATCGCAATCATAATTTCATATTACAATCTATGGAGATAGTAAAATAATCATAACTTCAACTGATGCCATAAATATACTAACAAGGTAACAGCTATCAACTAATTTATTTTAATCATATATTTTTAATAATTTTATTAATTAACCATAATAATAACATCACTTATAGTTTAATATAATACAACAATAATTAAATTTATTATCAAAAAAAATTTAATAATACTTCTAATAATTTAATATCGCATAAATAATAATGAAATATAAAAAAACTAAAATAACAATTGTTATTAATCAAATAACAGCAAATAACATCACTATATAACAATGGAAACATATAATCCTGTTATTTATATAAAACATCATTATAACAATAATGAACATATCCAAATCCGTTAAATAACAATCATTATATTATACAACAAATGTTATTTGAAATTATAATGGTTAGAACGTTGCTAATTTTGCCAAAAAATTCTTATCGAAAAATCTCATCAATTGAATTGATTGAGCAGAAACTCAAAACCCAAAGGATTGAAAAATTTTCCGAAGGTGATTTCAGAATCAGAAGAATCAACATTTTCATAAAACTTGACTGAATGGCTAATATGGAGCATGGTTAGGATCAAATGTAAAACTGAGGTACAAATTGTCAGCATTGTTTATTTTGATGAGATGAAAGTAGACAAAACATTAGGCAAATTCTTTAGCAGCCATCCGTTCCAAAGACGAGCTAAATGCAGGACTTGTAGGCCACGACACGCAAAATGAAGTACTCAGCTATAGAAACCAGTTTTGCATGAAAAGAGTGACTCTTGTTTATGAACAGAGGAACATGGCAACCAATATAGATAGTTTCACCAGGAGAACAAACCCCTTTTAGCATGGTCCCAGAGGCTTTCCAACAAGGAGAACAAAAGGTTGAAATTGCAACGTCAAATATATTTCCTCTAAGCAAATTTATAACCAAAACCAACATTTCGTCCAAGAAGAATTTACATGCAGCAGTAATAAGAGTACAAAATATGCCAGCATAAGCATTGCCTGCTTCAGAAAGATGGCTACTACAAGTCTGGAGACAGAAGAACACGTTATTGGTGCTACGTGGAACTGGAATTATCAAATCCGTATCCGTTTGACATCACTCTCAGGAACACTTGCATCATTCCCTTTACTTGCAACTGTTTGCCCCTGAATCAACAGATGCACACCAAATAAATACTACAATCTTCGAAAATCACCCAAGTAGACCAGTATATCATGTCATCATCAATGGGGTGGTGTTCGTTGTAGATTCGGGTTCTTCTGAGCGAAGACGTTACTATAGTAAACATTATAAGTTTTATGCCATGTTTTGGGTTAAGAGTTTTATCTAACATTCCTTTCTCCAAATACAGAATGTATAGAACCTGCAATTTCGCTTCAATGAATTTTCACCCTCTCAAAAAATACCAGTCTCAATTGATCAAAACTAGGTCAAAGATTGCTAGAGTTACAGAAGTCCTTGAAAAATACTACTGAAAAATAACATGAAAAAGAAAGAGCAAATCATACATGTTATTGAAGCAAGGACAAAGTGAACATTTTGACTATGATGAAAATTTACATTCCTTTCCACATGTATACCCAATATGTGTCAAATGTTAAATAACCATGCAAATTCAATCCTGAACGAGACAAATCTAGCTTGCATTCCTCGAAGCAACTCCCTTTGCAAGTGTCCCATTTTACCCCTTAAACTTCACTTACTTGATACCATATTGTTGCACAATTTACATATACACACAAACAGGGGTTATCTACAGGGCCTTTGGGTATAATAAATGACACCAATAATTTTATGATCACTACCATGCTTCTACATATGATTGATGCATGTTGTCAATATGGTGACAAAATAATGTGAATTTAAGCCTGTCCGAATTTGCACCTCGACTTTGAATGTTGAAATTTTAGAAATGCAAACTTACAGATTCATCAGGAACGATAGCATATCTCTCTGATAGTGAAATCCAGCTTTTCCCTGTCAAGAGGATTTGAGGAAGCATCATATAAATAAAAAATAAAAATAAAAATAAAGGCAACAAAACCAATTGTGAAGTCAAAATGTAAGAAGAGGTGATGAGGACAATACAGCACCTGATGACGGATCAACAGTTGAAGCTTCAATCTGTTGGCCGCCAGATCCATCAACACTCAGGACTTCTATGATCTTTGGTACATTTCTTTGAAAGACCAACAAATAAAATTTAGCGATTTTCCTCAGAAAATAGAGCAAAATATGTTAGTGAACAAGATTTTATTCTACTAAACATATTTCAGCTAAAATTATTGAAAATAGTACAACATTATTCGTATGATTTATATAGGCCTAGCAAAGCAGGGCCACGATTAAATACTAATTGGTTTTGGATGTATTAAAGGGCACTTCCATTGCAGACGAATGAAGTTTGTCATACTTCATGCGTTATTTGCTCCACTTAAGCAACTACTCAGGGTCAGCTGAGAAATGAATCCTAAAACGCACGTGCATCCATCATTGCATAAAGCACTTATACATTCGATCAAGTCTTGTATAACTTCGCAAACTACATCCTGTTCATTGTTCTTTCATGAAAAATGTTCCTACACTTAAAAATATAATAATAAAAAAAAGAGTTCTACATATGTTGATCTGTTACAAGTTAAAATGCATTTCTGCCAATTATCAGTTTCCAGAGAAAGGCAAGTCAGAAATCTGTGAATGTGTCCTCAATTCGTTATAAAGAGAAGGAAGCAAAATTCAAATAAGTATTGGTTTTCAACACATCACCATAATAGCTTGTGTCTTTACATCAAGGAAGTTAAAGGTGAAATGTATTTTCATATTCAAAGTCAAGTAAACGGACTCAATGCATCTTTTATCTGCAAGAAGAAAGGTTGTCAGCATCACCATTGTTTTCAAAGAAAGTCGTAAGAGTTTTGAAAATTTCATATTTGCATGTTAAAATTTTGGGAATTCTTAATAATTTGGTACTGAAAAACTTGAGGTGAGTTTCTTGATCCAACCAGTAATTGGGGAATGGTACGAGGTAATAATCACAAGATGTTCTTGCTAGTTGCTTTGGCACAGCTTTCAGGTTCGGCAATTGAAACTAACCTTAATTGAGGTCCAGCGCAAATTCCAACTAACCTTAATTGAGGTCCAGCGCAAATTCCAACGGTAGGTTGAGTCGTTTTTAATATGATAAAAATCACTTCTTAGTTGGATTTTGTTTTGGAAGTTATGAGTGCTTTAGCTAGTAGAGGCCTATAAGTAACATTTTGTGTTTTGGATGGTATTCTGATACTCAAAGTCAGTTGTAGAAATACTTTTCTAAAATCGTTTTCTTCGTAACCCTCTAATAAGATATTATCATTCAATGTTGTGTTGCAAATTATCTTGCATTTTATCTTTGATTTTTACACCTAAAACCATAAATTTCTGAATCCTAGCCACCCATTAGGACAGAGAGGTTTTCCATATCATTTATACATCAACTGTATTAACTCAAAATAGCAATAATTCATGCAAGAGAGAAATGTAGGCTTATGCTATTACCGATCCATAGACTCTCCATGACCGAGTTGTCCATTTGTGCCTCTTCCCCAAGAAAATACATTTTCCCGTTCAGTAAGAGCAAGTGTGTGCCTCCATCCACATGAGATCTGAACTACTTTCTGCCAAGAGCCAAACAAATGCACATAAAAATACAGAATCAGATTAAGAACACGGATTACTAGGAAAGAAGGCAACCATCTCAGACAAGAACCAAAAAGACGAAAATCCCTACAGAACTGAACATCAATGCCATGGGCTATCTTAACCAATATTCTGAGCAACAGTAACAAGAATGTGCCTGCTCATGTGGAAATTTGACTTGCACAGGAGAGCAATGATCAACGTTGTCACCAACTCCAACCTGTCCAAACTGTACAGAGGAAAGAGATAAACCTAACAATAAGTATAGTTTTAAGAACAAAAATGGGTTTCAGAATTAATTAAGCCAAGTAAAAAAGATAAAAAAAAAAACAGAGAAGAAAATATGAAATATGAAACAGTTCTACAAAGCTTCCACAACAGAGCAAAGTGAAATCCAATAATTAGCAAGATACTGTGCCTCCGCATATGAAAATTTTCTGTGATTGTGCAATCTACTCTTAACTTGAACGGCCCTGTTTACACTTGGCAAAATAAGGGAAAAACTAAATGTTCCAAATGAACTGTTTTCACCAAGCAAACTAAAAGTTATGTTCACTATGAGATGATAGATAATTGTAAAATGAAAATTAAGCAAATAAATATTGCAAACCTTATTCCATCCCCAGCCATAAAGTTTTCCATCAGAAGTCATTGCCATAGAGTGTCTCCAGCCACCTGATACCTGGAACACAAATAAACCGAAATTTTTTGGAGATTCTGGATTAGAAGAAACACTAAAACATGCCATCTCTAAGTCAATGCAATCTGGTCTTGATTATTAGAAGCTTCAAATATTTTCTGAACAAATGAGGTGTCACAAAAACAAGCATTGAGTCCATCTCAATTACCTTTAGAACTACATGAGAACTGCAGGATCAGGAAAGCCATAACAAGTCACAAAAAAAAAAAAATACCAAAAACAAAAATAAACTGAATGTTGAAGTGGAAAGAATGATCCTTTAAAAAAAAAAAAAAAGGATTTAATTTGACAGTGCGGACAACAATCTTTAATGGCCTGGGCCAATGAAGCTATATGAAAAAGGACCCTATCACTTCTCGAGGTGTTTTATAGAATTCTGCAAAATTTCATTGTTTCTGACCTGGTTATTCTAGAAAATAATTTGTTTGTCTCAATTTGGTAGCAGAAAATCTCTTCTCGGAAATGGGTGCCATCAATCAAGTAGGTACAATTAGATGAAAGTGGTATCAATCAGAGGCCAAGAATTGATGTGACTAGTGAGACATGAACTGTAATGTGAACCAACAAGAAGCGCTTTAACTAAAAAATAGAATCACATCCCAACCAACCTTGATAAAACCGGTTCAGTCCTTGCAAAACAAATAAAATCAACTATTGGTGAAAGGTGCCGAACATGTCTATTTTATTTAACTGTACATTTGAATCCACATCGCAATGTGACTAAACAAAAATAGAAAAGCTAAAACATGCATCATTGGAGAATAATCACTTTGCAGCCAACCACAAGGTGGAGAAAAAACTGTAGACTTAATGTAAGAATTGGTGTTCTAAAAAAGCTGCGCGATTCAAAAGTTCAATTAAATGAAAAGGAAAACCTATTTCAACAAAAACAAAAGGAAAAAGAAACCACCTGAGAGATAAAACTGTCCCGCAAGGCTTCCAGCTTATGAGGAGTAAGGTGATCCTCAAAGTCCCCATGTCCCAGTTGACCATATTTGCTCCATCCATAAGTGTATAGTGCACCAGAAGAGGAAACAGATATTGTATGCCGCCACCCACATGCAACCATAAGCATCTTCTCTCCCTGCAACTCACATGGTAAAAATTTTACCACCAGTTAATTACAACTGATCATTTTATATCCCAAGGTTATTATAATGCATGTTTAAAAATTTGTTTCATGTAATTGATCACCAGTTCCATAATTTGTTTTCTAACATCAAAACAGTGAGTATTCCAAGAGAAGGCACTCGTTCTGAAAAATAGTTTGTTAATAGATTTTACAGTTAGCTCCTATACACAGTCTAGCAGTTTTGGAGCCATAGAAAACCCCAGCTCTCTTTAAAGCCACATTCAAAAATCTAAACCTGACTTTGTTCAAGTCCATAACTTCACCCGTAAGTTTTTCATTATTGGCACATGTTGAAACAAAAGGCTGACAAGAAAAACAAGCTCGATAAGTAGATCAGAGAAATTGGATTTTTTTGCCAGCACTCAATGATCTTCGACGCTGGTTATGCTAAATCCGGTTAAGCAACAATTAGTACAAGTTCACTGAAATACTAACATACATTGACAACGGAAACTCTTTCAGGAACTACGCGATCATTTCTGTCACCTAGTCCCAAGTTCCCATATCGGCCCCAACCCCATCCATAGAGTTCTCCATCTTCTGTGACGGCTACAGTATGTTCAGCACCAGCAGCAACCATTTTAACAGAGACTCCCTACAAGAGAAATGAAATTTCAGTACATGAATCATCACAATATGTCTGGCTGCACAAGAGTATTACAAGTCAATCGTGACACAGAAATTTCTTTTAGTTCAGAATGTCACAGAGGAAGCATCAATAGGATAGTCAGCTAACATGGGAAATCTAGTAATTTGACCAAAGAATTTTATAATCTCTCGGATGATGGTCCTTGAATTTGAACCTTTGTTCACTACCTTCCCCCCACCCAAAAAATAAATAAATAAATGAAATCAAAGTCTTTTTTCATGTAGCTCCAAATAATAAAATCTTTTATTCTTTTTTTCATTTAGTTTCAACAATAATGTCTGTGTGTTGACCATAGAACAATACAAGATATTTACCAAAAAAGGCAAATCGTTCAATGACTTAGAACATGGATAGCATACCGAGAGTAGGCTTATGACAACGTTATATGTGCATGCCCAGCTATGAAACTCAATGAAATAAGCCTTTGTTCTGAATCAATTGGAAGAGATGAAAGATCTACTGAGATACTTGACAGGAAAAAGGGGTTTCATTCAGATTCACGAGGCAAAATTGAACCTCCAAAAATGGCATAAGATAATTATCATTGTACTAACAAATAGCTGAGTATCTCTTCAAAGAACCAGTTAATCTGAAGTACCTGAAAAGCTTGAATTTTCTGAGGCAAAAGAGAGTCCTCGGTGGTGCCAAGACCAAGTTGACCATTTTGATTCCGCCCCCAACTTCACAGATACAAGCAAAAACACAACAAATAAAATGTTTTCCCTCACTATATAATCAATAAAGAAAAGCATAGATGTAAGCTAGGAAGAACCTTCACCCAAAAGATATAGTAGACTCATACAAGGCAAATAAGCCATATGAATGATATTTGGTATGCAGATAAATAAAGATGCATAAGAGCTATTAAAACTAGAGTCAGAAGTTACTTGTTTGCTATTGGGGATTTCATGCAAAAACATATCATCTAGGAACGGCTTTAACCCATTAGCATAGAATCCAGTTCCAATCAAACATCTAGATGATTCAATATTACATTGTGAAAGAGAAAGCTATGCCATTGTAGAAATGAAAACTCTTATGGTAAAAGTTAAACAGTAAGTTTAACTAGCAAAATTAGCCAAAATAATTGATGGCCCCAATAGCTTTGCTGAGAAAATACTGAAACACAATTTTATCAATGCAATGAGAGAAACATGCCAACCAATCCTCAATATATAAATATATCCACGAAACCAACCTGTTTTCTCAACCCTCATCCTAAAGTCTTCAAAAATTCAGACGATTTTCTCTTTTTTTTATGAAAATCGATTTAAATTATAAAGAGAGCCATCTAGTTGATGACAAAAAAGAGATTACAGAGTAGAAACAATAGGACTATAGCCAAGCAAAGTAACCTTTTTGTCCACTCCTTGCTTAGCCACACTGTCAGCAACCATATTACCATCTCCATTGATTCTACTAAAAATAATTGACCTCAGATTACGAATACAAGAATCTATCTCATAAAAACATTATGCATTTTCCATGGCCTCTGATTAGCAGTTTGATGAACCCAAAGCATTGCATTTGAATAATCAGTTTCTATGATCCAGTTCATCTCTTGAGAAAGACGATGGGATTGACTTATCTCCAAGGCTTTATTAATAGCTAGAACCTCAGCCTCATTAGAATCCTTAATACCAGTTGGAAATAAGAAGATTCATAACTTTCTTTCATGATCCCTGAGTACCCCACCTATACCAGAACTACCTGGTTTTTCCAAAGAATAACCATCCACATTCCATTTCAAACACCCAATTCTTGGCTTTTCCCACGTAGTTGGCTAGCAACTAGTGAATTGGTTAGTCCATTTCTGAATTCCTTCTGAGCTTCTTGCTAAATCATTTCCAGAGTAAGCAAAACAACCATCAACAAACCTTGCCCAATATGCAACTCTATGAAAAATTAAATAGAAAGTACAGACCCAATCAGGTGTGACACTATTAAAGACCAAGTCATTTCTAACCAACCAAATAGACCATAAAACTGCATAGAGAACTAGAAACCACAATTTCTTTTGCATCTGACCACTAGCAAACAAGGACCAATTCTGAAAAAAAGGTTGTCTATTGTAGACGGCATGGACCACAAACAACCCCACCATTTCATAATATGCGACCACAGCAACCAAACCACATGACAGTAAAGCAGCAAATGAGAGACTGTCTCTCTAATAGAATTGCAAAACGGACATAGACTACCATCATCATCAGCAACATCGTCACTAGTTTAGAGGATATTTATTCTCATAAAAAAAGGAATTGTTGGGCATCAAAGCAAGATTTCTTAGTTCTAGAATGTACTATTAGTAACGATGTATTGGACTACTCAACCTAATATATCGTTAACAAGACAGATCCTGAGGAATCAAAGCAACTTTGCAAATGAAGCACTATACTAGCTAGAACCTACACTTATGCGAGTGTTTTTTTTTAAAAAAAATATATATATATATATGCATTCATAACAATTAGATTATAAGACCAAGGGGAAAGTACACCTAGGAAAAAAAAAAAACTCAATCAAAAGTACCGCAGTCCTATTGTGAGTAAATCCCACCATAAAGATGCCAGAAAACTATGCTGACGCACAGCAATTGCCTTGAAACACTAACCTAATAAATTACTCTTGCCAGTAATCAAACTATTGAGAAAAGATACAGACAGAAAGGCTTCTAACCTTAGCACCTCACCATCCGTGGTGACTGCCAGACAATGGCTGTCCCCACAAGCAATTTGCCTTATCTTTAAACCGTGCAAAGCCTTAATTGGCTGAGGAGTGAACAAATCACTAGAATTTCCATGGCCTAACCTCCCAAAATCACCCCTGAAAAATTAGAAAATGGTTAAGGGCTACATGTGAAATCCAGATGCGAAAGTAAAAACTTCACTTATCAATATGCCATAGTATACACCTATGATAGAATTGTTAGAATGTTTCAGAAGATGAAATGTACTATCATAAAACTATCTTTTGATATGACTTGTCAGACAATTTGAAATGATTCCACATATAAATAGGTACACTCTATTCCTCTCATCTTTGACTACATCTTACAAAAGATTTAAGGAGGAAATAAATAAGGGAATTCATAAATCGACCATCAATGGAGATGTTATTTAAGTTGCAAGACTGAGTCGATGAGACTGAGAAACAGCCTGTGAGATAAGGACTCAGTTATAAATGCTCAGACAACCAGATAATTTATTTAAATTGAGTTAACCAGCTGTGATTTATTTTGCTTAGGCCAACTATTAAACTCCTTGGTTTTCAGATCTCGAAAGAACACTCTCCAACCAATAAAAATAGCATACTTCTCAAACAATAAACCAAAATTAGGAATCAAATAAGGAACAATGAAGAACAGACCATCCCCAACTATAGACCTCCATACGTGATGCAGAATATGCGGTTGTATGATCAGCACCACAAGTAATTGATACTATTTCATGGTCATCCAATATACTCAATTGGGTAGGAGTACGTCGATCCTCAGCATCCCCATGTCCTAACTGCCCATCCTCTCCTCGTCCCCATGAGCAAATAATGTTTCCAGCTGTAAATTATGAACATTTTCAATTCCAATCGATGCAAGTTTAAGTAATCAAAGCATGAGAACAGAATTAAAGATAAAGTTACAAAAGAAGATGATTTTCTTTTCATAAAGTTCATCCTCCATAAAGAAGAGAATAGTCACAGGTATAAAGGGAAGATGAGGGATCCTCCAAAAGATAAAATTCTCAAGAAGCCAATGTAAATCTGAAAACCATGCTTCCCAGTCTTGTGAGCTAATGAACATAATATGTGTGTGTGTGTGTGTGCGTGTGTGGGTGTGTTATATCAAACAGAAGTTGCTTCAACAGAAAATGGTCATTAAAGATTCTAGCGTTCCCCTTCTACCAGTTAACCCAAACCATTGCAAACATAGCACTAATAGTCTATGCTATGTTAAACCTTCTTGAAACATTGAAAAGCATTTCTTCCATTAAAACTGGAGAAGCCCATTGTATCCCACAAATACAAAGAGTTCATTCCACAAAAGCCATGCCACAGAAGGAAGCAACAAAAAGAGTATACACGTATAGAAACATACTGCTGATTCTACTGAATACATGCATGCATACTTAAAAATCCGACAAAAAAAAAAAAAAAAAAAAAAGCAAACATGTTCGTGCAAAAAGTTTGAAGAGCCGTGTACATAGGTAATAATTTATGGAGTGTTAAACTAGTCCCAGGTTTTTAGTATGATCTTAATTATGCGTGGATCCCTGAAACTTTCTATTTTCTGTAAACCTAATGTTACTTTGCTTTAAAAACAAAAACTAAAGGCCACTGTAGAATTTTTTACTGCTAAGGTACAATAGAGTAAATATTCGAATCTCTCGTTTGCACATATGCTCCCTTACTTCTCCTTTCTTCCATCATTCCTTCCTTTTCCAAGTGAAGAAAAAAATCCATCGTCATTTTATAATTTAACCACCACTCAGAACCGTCATCACCAGTGAGTAAAAAAGACAACAAAATGGCTAATAACAGTGGTAAAGAATAGACCTCAATAGTGGCTTTACAGCAACAAAACATCGCAGAGTAATTGCACGCTTTAATACCATGTTGCCATTAGAAAATCAGTGAAATGGTATGAAGAGTGGCTAGCTCCTCTTTTCAACGAGTATATCTAATGGAGCATTTCTCTATCCCACAAAATGATCTTAACTGGAATTTCAAATAAGTGAACAAGTATACATAATTTAAAGTTACATTTCTTTTCTATAAGTAGTAACAAGCACAAAAAAAAATAATAATAATAAAATAAAAGGATTAGAATCTATGAATTTCAACATTTGTTTGAAAAGGTAGGTTAGTCCATCAACAAGGACCTCAAACATTGAATGCGCATTGCATGCTTAACCTAAGGTAATGAACATTTGTGCTCAGAAATATTCTTCCATATAAAGATTTCACTAAGGTAATTGCTGCTAATTGCTAGCATTAAACTTGTGAAACTTGCCAAAAATTTAATGAGGAAGATTTCAGAATTGTGATTGAAAGAGCATCGCCAGCAACCACACAAGGAAAAAGCCATTTGGTAAAATGAAAGAACTTCTTTCGATGCTTTTTCAAGGTGTTGCACACCACTAGGAATGATATTTAGCAGCATTACCGATTGAATATCTTGTTGTGCCTTTGGTAACTGCTTCTCTACGTCTTACCATTTCTTGACCAAAAAAACACTGAATGGGGAGTCAATGAGTACCACATTTAGGTAATGAATCTTCGAAATCTCATGAAAAATCATTGGTCATCACTCCATCGTACATGATTTTAAGCAAGAACTGAAATTTGCAACTAAGAATGAACAGTCAATAAGCCCTAAAAATCATTTGGGTGCCACAGGAGTAATGCATCTAAATGCTAGTTTCCTCTCTGTTTCTTCGCACAAACCATTGTTTCCTTGACTTTCCCTTCACAAGAAATAACAAGACACAAACTAGAATGCATCAATGCTGGCTTGAAAAGAAACTCAAAACTAACATCCTCCACAAATGTTTACCCTATCAAACTTGTGCATATCCATCATAGCTCTAAAAAGAAAAAAGTTCAAACACATTTCAACTAAATTTACCAAAACTCCCGAAACAGACAACAAATGGTTTCACATTAAGCCAAATACGAAAATGAAATCACCCCATAAACAATTTCAAGAGAAACTAAGCAAACAAAGGTCAACCAATCACAAAACCAGTGATCAAACCCAAAAGCTTCAGTCTTTACAAAATCTAACATAAAATCAAACCAATAAAAACAAATCCCAGAAATTTAAACTTACTAAGAAGAGCAACAGAATGACTAGCTCCAGCAGAAATAAGAATAACTTGACGGATTGGACCAGTAAATTCACTAGCACTAGCAGCTCCTTCTTCCCCAGCCATTTTTTTTTCCTCTGTTATTCTAAAGTAAAGCTGCTGTCTTGTTTTTTAAATGAAGAAACCAAAGTCTAGATAGAAGTAGAAGAAGTTTCAAGTTGCAGGTTGTTTCTGCTGTGACAATAATGATAGTAAGTAGAGAGTGGGTGGCAGTGATAAATTTATAGTGACGGAGAAAGTACATGTGTTACTACTCCCTTCATTATACAATAAACAAAGGTGCATTTACAAACTGTAGAGATGGAAAACAGTAGAACTTTGTTTCGATGCAGAAACAACGGCATTGATGATGCAAAGGCCCCGCCCACTATTGCTGATTTTGAGTTTCTGAGCTACTGAAGTAGGGTCTCTGATTCTGTTGTTCATTTTCCACCACACAATCATTTCGGTTTGAAGTTTCTCCAGGGCTAAATTAATCGACTCTTCCTTCAATTTTTTTTTTAATCATGAAATTAAAAAATTCAGACTAAATTCTAGCTATTTTATAGAATACATAAAACAAAGATTTTCCATAATATATATATATATATATATATTCGAATTTAAAACCACTTGAAAATCATTAACTAAACTAATTTTTTTCAAAAAAATAAAATATCTGAGATTTCAAAAATTAAATTTGAAGTTGAAAAACTCATTTTTAAAGGAGTGAAGTTCAGACAATGTTCAACTTATTTAGCATTTCTCCAATTTACGGTAACTAGTTGCCTTAATGAGTGATTAATTACATTCGGGAGACAGCAATCTCTCCCATGTAGGATAATGGGACACTGACTCTAATCTTATCTACTAATTTTACACTTCTTATTGAATCGATTTGCTAAAAAATCACAACTAATCAATTTCCGAAATTCATATATTTAATGCATAAAATGAGTATTCAATGTATGAGATTTTTTGATAAATCAATGTGATAAAAAAATTATATAAAATTAGCATAATATTAGACAAAAGTAAATATGTATAAACACATTTATTATTTTCCATGATGAATTCGAGAAATAATTATATACATAAATATGGGACCTATTATATAAATTATTACATGTTTATATGTTTCATCTTTATGTAAAAGGTAAGTAGAGCTTTAATATATTGAATAACTTCTTATTAATTTTTAAATGCAGTGGCTATGTCAATTTGGTCATGAAGTAAATGATTACTTGAATGATAAATAGACAACTTATTAGTTTCTACTCATTCTATACTGCAGATCGAACAAAACATATAAAATTATGTTAAAAAATAATTTTAAATTGATAATATGTATTATCTTATGAGTCTACTAAAATATATTAAATCAAAAATAAAATTAATACTATTTTTTTAAAAAAAATTTGTGTTTAACTAATTATTTATCATAGTTTTCATAGTTTTTTTTTTTTTTTGCTAAAACGAACATGATTTATTCTTCTATATTTGGATTCTTAACTAAAAACTTATGATAAAATTCAAAAATCCATGGATTATTAACTAAAAACTTTTCTTATAATTTTTTTTAAAAAAATCTAAGACAAATTATCTAAAAAATACTTTTAATCTTTAAATTAAATCTATATATATTGCAAAGTATTTTTAAAAAAATTAAGATATATATATATATATATATATATATATAATGAGGAATGAAATTACAATACAAATAAAGTTGTGGATTGAAATAAAATTTATTGAAAAATAAGGGACTAAAAAATAATATGAGCAAAACTTTAAGCATAAAATTCTTGAAAAAAACCTCACAATTAATAAATAAAAAAACCATTCAATGCACGGTAAAAAGAGGGTGAATAGTGTTGTGAACAAAATAAATGCCTAAAAAATAATTAAAATAACGAAAATACCACTATCTTAAAATCATAAAAAAGCCACCAAATGAATAATGTTATGTGAGTGTGTGAATAATATAAGAATAGTGAAAACCTCATCTCTTTTAGGGTTGTGGATCAAAATAAAATTTGTTGAAAAAAATGAGAGAGTAAAAAATAACGTGAGCAAAACTTTAAGCATAAAATGCTTGAAAAAAATTTCAAAATTACTAAAAAAAAAATCAATACACAATAAAAAGAGGATAAATAGTGTTGTGGACAAAATAAATGCCTAAAAAAATACTTTAAATAATGAAAATGTCACTACCTTAAAATCACAAAAATGCCATTAAGTGAATAGTGTTATGTGAATAGTAGAGGAATAGTGAAAATCCCACCTCTTTTCGGGTTCTTTATAATGTAAGAAAAAAATAAAAATAAAATATCGAGTTGCCGACTATATGCCAATTCACAATAGTAACTTACATTAGAATAAAAAAAAACGCACAAACATAATATCTAAAACGGTTTATAAATTTACCTAAAATGTATTTTATGGAAAATAAAAAGAGTATAGAATATTTAAAATTATTAATTAAATTTGTATCTAGGTATAGCTTGTGGTGATAATTTGGGGACATCGGAATCTTGAAGACTTCAATTTGAAAAGGGAAGTAGAAATCTAAAGGCAAAGGGAGATTTTAATTACTAAGTGGTAAAATTTCATTATATACGTGGAAGATGGATGCCCCTTAAGCTTTTGAATCAAAAAGGCAATCCTTTTGTTTAGGAAATTTTATTATTTTTAAAATATTTTTTTTTCATTGAAGGTAAAATAGTATTAAAAAAAAAGAGAGAAAAAAATGCTAGCTCATTGTTATGTCAACACTATTTAATTAGTTTTGAAAAAAAACTATTAAAATGACTCGTATAACTTAGTTTCGTTATTAAAGAAATGGTAAAAGAGTGGAATTAAACAAAAAGATGATAGAAAATGAATTCATTATAAAATAAAATGAATACAAAAGATAACAACTCTAGATAATTCTCTCAATCTTTACAAAATACTTACACAAATAAATGAATAATCAAGCTTATTTATAAGCTTCAAGATTAGGAAGAGAATTGGAAGAGACTATGAACCATTAAAAGATGCATAAATAATTGAATTAATTGTATCACCCTTTTAATTTCTCATATTGAATGGTGAATTGAATCGCATGAGTAGTAGAACTATGAAATGGTCATGAATATTCATTGTTTCATAACACTCCTCCTTAAATGTCTATCGTACAAAGAACATGCATGGTTAAAACCTTACTAGGAAAAAATCACAGTGAAGAAAAAAAAAGTACAATATTCCTTGTACATATTAATCTCAATGTTGGGCTCCTCTTGTTGAAAACATCATTTGAGATCTCTAAGACGTATTTTAATCTTGTGAATCATCTTCCGAAAAGTTGTAATAGATAATGCCTTAGTGAACAAATTTGTTGAATTGTCACTTGATCGAATTCTTCATTTAATTGAATTATGCAAGTAGCATTATCTTCATATAATACTTGTTGGAACTTTTTCTATCGCTAGATAAATTGCATGTCTCTCGGATATGATGGATCGTTGATCTTAACAAAACACATTCTCGACTTACCTCATAAATTGGTATTTCGCATGGTTTAAATATTTAACAACTATAGTTTGCTTCATAGAATGTCATGATATAGCTATACCACCAAGTGTAATTACATAACCCGTTTATGATCGAGTTTTTTTATGGATCGGATAAATAACATACATCCGCATAACCAATTAAACCCGACTTTGATTTGTTTAAGTAAAATAAATACCATATCAATTTTTTTCGAAGAAAACGTAGGAAACTTTTAATTCCATTCCAATGTCTCTATATTGGAGTAAAATTATGACTTGCTAATAAAATTATAGAAAAGAATATAGCAAGTCGAGTATTATTAGCAAGATATATCAATGGACCAATGGCGTTAAGATATGGTACTTCAAGACGGGGTAGTTTTTCATTATCTTCTCAAGATCGAAAAGTGGTCTTTCCGAATATCAAATGAATGAACTACAATCATGCTAGTCAATGGATGATCTTTATATAGAATAATTATAAAACTTTGTTTATATAAATTGACTAACAAATACAAATATCATTCTCTATGTGCTTGAACTGTAAGTCGAGGTAAAATTTTATTTTCCCAAGGTACTTCATACAAAATTCTCTTTTTAGATAACTTATGGCACTTTAAATCTCTTTAGGAGTTCTAATAATATTTAACTCATCAACATATACAATAATTATCACAAACCTTTTTTTGAATTTCTTTATAAAAATACATAAATAAATATGGTTATTTTTACAACCTTCTTTTAATAAATATTTATTAAAACAATTATACCGCATACACACGAGTTAGTAATAAAAAGTAGATATTGAAAAATAAAAAATAAATATAAAAAGCATAGCATAAATTGAATTTCTAAAAACTAAAATAATTTCGATAGAGATCTCTATAATTTAATTGAATTCATTTTTTGAGAATATGTATTTTACGCTTCAAGCATCTTAAGTCCTTCTAAGACTTTCATATAGAAATCATTTTCATTTGAATAAACAAGTTCGATTACATCCATTAAATATATACAAATGAAGTTTTTCATATATTTTGCGAGACTAATGAGATAATGAAATATAATTACATCCATTACGGGACAATATTTCTCCTCATAGTCAATGTCGGGTCCTTGCAAAAATTCTTATGGTACAAGTCTTGCTTTATATCTCATAATTTCATCTTTCTTACAAGACTTTCATATAGATATCATTTCCAACTAAAAATATAAGTTGTGTTCACATCCATTAAATGTATACAAATGAAGTTTTTCATATATTTTGCTAAGTTAATGAGATAACAAAGTATAATTATATCCATTACAGGAGAATATATCTCATTATAGTCAATGTTAGATCCTTGCGAAAACTCTTATGTTACAAGTCTTGCTTTGTATCTCATTATCTCATCTTTCTTATTTTGTTTTTGCAAAAATACTCATTTTTATCCTACTAGCTTAACAATTTCAAGCGTTTTGACTATGAGTTTAAAAACTACTCATTCGTAAGAGAATGTAATTCCATATGGATTGCTTTTTTCATTTAAGCCAATCATCTTTATGTTAATA